GACCGGATTTCATCTCGGAATCCACAGCAATTATATAGTCCATAGTCAAGACTATGGAGTTCACAATGACTATAATCTCGACTGAAGTCGACCTACTGTGTCAGACAAGCAAGAAAGTCTATTTGCTAATATTCCAATGTTTATTTATATCATACATGTATAGACATATATCACATCTCTATAAGAAAGCACATTCTGTTTTTTATAGTCTTTAATCATGATGTCTGGGCGATTAGTTTTGATTTTTCTGTCTGTGTGTATTTTAAAATCCCATAAAATAGTTACAGGCCCTATCTCTGTAATCGGGTCTGGGTGATATCCATACCAATTTCTTGCAGTTTCCTTCCTTTAAAAGTTACATATTATTATTATTAATATTATTATTAGTAGCAGTAGTAGTAGTAGTAGTAGTAGAAGTAGAAGTAGTAGTAGTAGTAGTAGTTTTATGTTATCTTTTTTACTGCCTTTATTACAATGTTCCGGGTCAATCCAATCTTCATTATTGCTATTATTTTATTACTAGTTTTACTCCATCTTATTATTGTTGCTTTATAATTATTTCAGAAGGCAGTCTGGTACAAGGTCACAACAATGGGGGATGTATGAGAATCAGCCTCAATAAACTGTTGAAGTGGTTTGCAACACTAAATTATTTAGCATCATGTCATGAGAGGCATACTAAATCTATTGTCTCATATCTTCAGGACACGCAATATTTTAAGAAAATTGCCTTTCTTTAGATGTTTAAGAACAAGAATGAATTGGTCTAATCCCTAAAATGATAGGCGATAATATCTTGAATTTTTTACATTAATATGTAAAATTAGTGGAAAACAATTGTGTGAGTCATAAACTGCTTTGTATCCGCATTCATATGGAGTTGGAATTGCTATACTGAGATCTAACAGTATAATTTGTTTTGCCTGATCTACCTATCAGATCTATCTATCTATCTATCTATCTATCTATCTATCTATCAACAGTTTGTTCAGATCTATCTATCTATCTATCAACAGTTTGTTCAGATCTATCTATCTATCTATCTATCTATCTATCTATCTATCTATCTATCTATCTACAGTTTGTTCAGATCTATCTATCTATCTATTTATCTATCTATCTGTCTATTCATATCTATCTCTGTCTTTTCATATCTATCTCAGTCTGTACATATCTATCTCGGCCTCTTCATATCTATCTATCTATCTATCTATCTATCTATCTATCTATCTATCTATCTATCTGTCTGTTCATATCTATCTCAGTCTGTTCATAGCTATCTATCTGTCTATTCATATCTATCTCAGTCTGTCCATATATATCTCAGCCTCTTCATATCTATCTATCTATCTATCTATCTATCCCAGTTTATTCGTATCTATCTATCTATCTATCTATCTATCTATATCTATCTATCTATCTATCTCAGCTTATTCATATCTATCTATTTATCTATCTATCTCAGCTTATTCATATCTATCTATCAATCTATCTATCTCAGTCTCTTCATATCTATTTCTATATCTATCTCAGTTTATTCATCTCTGTCCGTCTGTCTATATCTATCTATCTATCTATCTATCTATCTATCTATCTATCTATCTATCTCAGCTTATTCATATCTATCTATCTATCTATCTATCTATCTATCTATCTATCTATCTATCTATCTCAGTCTTCAATATCTATCTATCTATCTCAGTCTTCATATCTATCTATCTATCTATCTCAGTCTTCATATCTATCTATCTATCTATCTATCTATCTATCTATCTCAGTCTATTCATATCTATCTCTGTCTTTTCATATCTATCTCAGTCTGTACATATCTATCTCGGCCTCTTCATATCTATCTATCTATCTATCTGTCTGTTCATATCTGTCTCAGTCTGTCAAAGTTATGGCCAGTCTCGTTATGCTGTGTGCATGTGTAGTCCTACTAATATAACAACATTTGGTCCGATGAAATCCTGAAAGACGAAGCGTGTCATAAGTAAATTTTTTCCACTTTGTCATAAAAATATATATATAAAAAAAAACTAGATAAATTTGTGAATGCATTGGGTAATAAATAAACAATACCCTGATGATGATATAGTGATATGTCGAAAGTACTCGGGATAAAAAAAAAAAAAAATGTAACCACACGGCTATTTTCTCTCGTCCTTCAATAACGACGCCAAAAAGCTTATCTGTGAATATGAAAGGATCCAACTGAAAATAAGTAGATAGAACATATGTAAATTATTCAACAAAACTTGTCTCAATGAAAACATGCTGCCAAAATATACGCATATATACATATATATATATATATATACAAACCCATATATATATATATATATATATATATATATATATATATATATATGTGCATATCCGCTGACGATCCGCTTAGGTGAAACCTTGGTAGGTTTGTTTAGCTCTCTAGGTTTAACTAGGTATGCTCTACTGATTGTATTGAGCACTTTATTTAGTTATTTTGCATATTCGTATTGTTTTTTTGGGGGGTGGGGGGGACTTGCATGCTGGACGATTATTTTCGGCTAACGTACATGTTCTTGGTTCTTTCTTTTTTTTATACCTTTTTTCCCCTTTGGTATTGGTTTGATTATTTGCAAATCAAGACACCGAAGGTTTTCCGAGCTAGTATAGTTTCTTATACTTATAAGATTTCTATTAATATATATATATATATATATATATATATATATATGCCATGCGTGATACAGGGGATCATGTATCTTTCGATACATTATTGACGAGTAGGTTGCCATTTCTTTCTGCTGGTAGACCTACAGAATCCGGTCTGTCCTGCTATTATAAGAAGAGGATTCATACCTTTTCCAGTGGTACTAGCATGTAATGGATTCGACTGGAATTCGAACTCTGCTCTCCGATTCTTCAATCCGAGTCGCTATCCATTAGTCCACCGTTCCTCCCTATGACACCAAATTCACAAACCAACGCTTTAACCCACTGCGCTATTGTCTCGTAGTGAAAATAACAATAATAACTTTTCATCCCAGAAATTCCGACAGAAAGTGTATTCATCGTATTCAACGTGATCCATGATTTGATTTGTCGTGAGTATGACAATGATAATGACTCTTGAACGCAACTTCGTGAAGGCGCAAAAAATAAAGTCAAGCTTAAACAGGGCGTGGTCTTGTTTATAAATTATGTACGGGTTACTTGTGGTTTTCAAGTAACAGATGAGGCCAGACCAGTTTTTTTTAATATTTTCTGATCCATGTTAAGTCATTCCAAGCATAGCCCTAACCATAATTTGACAAAGAGTCAGTATGACTCTTCTTTGTCGCTAACAATGCCTGGGTTGGGAAGGCACATTTAGCACATATACAGGTTCTCCGTAAAGTCTCTTTACAATTTCAAAAATCTATTACAAAGGCCAATTGATGAGATATCTTAAGCAGATTTGATCTATGTACTCAGCAGTTATCATTTGTGTTTTTTAGGTACCCTATTGATGAAAGAGGTACTGTTAAATGAACCCCTAAAAATGGTTACTCCTCAAGAAAAGGCACAATGTGTGTGGTGGTTTTTTGAAATAAAATCGGATAAGCAGACTCAGCGAAACTGTAAAAATAATTATGGAAGATATTCACCGATACGTCCGGCATAGCACAATGAATTTATGGGGACAAAGACAGTTAATATGCTAACATTAGATCATTTTATAGGCTCTGGAGTGGTGCAAACAAAGTTGCATTAGCCGCTTATAAATCGATACAACATTTTCATTGATGGATTCGTTTTTTACAGTTTATCAACCATTTTCAGGTTATTTAAAGCCAAAAAATATTTTTATATGTTTTATTCTAAGGAAATATTTTAAACAAACAATATTTTGTCAGAAGAGTTTTTTTTTTTAATTTTTTTCTTGCAAAAATATTTTCTGTCATTAAAGATCAAATTGATGCATACATTTTAAAAGTAGTGTCACTGCGTCTTTTTACAGAGTTATCGAAACTTAGTTTCCGGTCTAGAAATGTCTAGTTTGAAACTATGCCTACGTCATTGATATCTGTGTATGAAAACAGACTTTATTTTCATTTTACAGATTAAATTAGGAACAAATGGATATACACTGTGTCTATAAAGTCTCTCTACAATTTCAAAAATATATTACAAAGGCCAATTGATGAGATATCTTAAGCAGATTTGATCTATGCACTCAGCAGTTATCATTGCATTTGTGTTTTTTAGGTACCCTATTGATGAAAGAGGTACTGTTAAATGAACCCCTAAAATGGCTACTCTTCAAAAAAAAAAAAAAAGGCACAATATGTGTCATTGTTTATTGAAACAAAATTGGTTATGCAGACTCTGCGAAACTATAAAAAATAAGTCTGGAAGAGATCCATCGTCACGTCAGGTATGGCACAAGAAATTTATGGGAACAGAGACAGTTTTACGTAAAAGGAGTTAACGACCAAGAACGTCTGAGGAAAACGTCGATCTTGTAAATCAAGTACCGTCTTGATGAGCTTCGTGCAAATAATGGTATCCTGATGATGAAAGAGGTACTATTAAATGAACCCCTAACATTTCCAGACCGTTGGATTGGAAGGGATGGCCCAATTCCCTGGCCACCTCGTATTTTATTACTTCACAGCTCCAAGAAAATTAAATGTCGGCATTCAGTGACCCATAAGAAGTTGATATGTCGTTAAACAATTCAATCAATTAAAAAACCGGACTAATTTTTTCCTATAAATGCAAGTATAAAATATAGGGTGTAAATAAAGTCTCTTTACAATTTCAAAAATATATTACAAAGGCAGTTGATGAGATATTTTCATCCAATTTGTTCTATGGATTCAGTAGTTATTCAAAGTTTTAAAGCGCATTACATTTGTGTATTTTAGGTACCCTGTTGATGAAAGCGGTACTGTTAAATGAACCCCTAAAAATGGCTACTCCTTAAGAAAAGGCACAATGTGTGTCTTTGCTTATTGAAACAAAATCAGATTCAACGAAACTACAGAAATTCCTTCTATGGAGTTTTGTCAAAGATACGGGACATCACTGATCTAAAACAAAAGATCACTGATGCCGATGCCATTTCCACCATTGATGAGGTTGTGTTACAGCGAACATGGCAAAAAATCGAGTACCGTCTTCATGTTCTTCGTACAACTAAAGGCGCCTATAGATGGGTGTATGAATTTAGTTAAAAAAATTCAATACCTACTCCTCATTTTGTAACAATTTCCACATATTTGTCTATTCATTTGCTTTAGTAATAAAATTTTAATATTTTTGTTTTATTATTTAAATTAGGTTCCCCGACTAGTTTCGACCAGCATGGCCATCATCAGGAGAAAAAAAATTCTGCTTGTTAGTAGCAGTGAACTACGGTTCACTACCACATTAGGAACTGCATGTTCGTGGGTTCCTAAATTAAACATTTCCAGACCAGTGGATTGGAAGGGATGGCCCAATTCCCCGGCCACCTCGCTCATCAGAAATCACTCACCTGGATTTGTTTCTATGGGATTATGCTAAAGATATCGTGTACCGAACAAAACTAATCTTAATTTAATATTCTAATACTAACTTAATATATATATATATATATATATATATATATATATATATATATATATATATATATATATTATAAATTAATTGATTTAAAATATGCTTTTTTTTTCGCTACACAGTTCTAACCATGTTTCAAAAATGGAAGCTAAAAGTCTGAATTTAATTTTGTAATTAAATTAAAGACATTACTTCCATTTCATTCTCAAGCGAATTTTGGAGTAACTTTTAAAATTAATGGGTTTTAAAGACACAGCAAAAATCATAATTCACGTTTCCAAGGATACAGAGAAATCCATTCATCTAGACAAGGGGTGTTTGTGTGTTCATTATCGCTGTATTTTGATGTATCAGTTATTAGTTACGTTTTGGTAGGGGTAGGGATGTATTTTTCAATGAAATCTGACATCCGCTAAATGCACAGGATGAAATGGAACTAATGTCTTTAATTTAATAACAAAATTAAATTCGGAGCTTTTAGCTTCCATTTTTGAAACATGGTTAGAACTGTGTAGCGAAAAAAAACATATTTTAAATCAATTAATTTATAATATTAATGCTCTGTAAATTTACATTGAACACTATTTTGTAAAAATAAAAATATCTATAAGAACACCGGATTATATATCTTACTGTTCTTTTCTTTTTATTTATATACATATTTGAATAAAAATGACAATAGGAAAACTGGTAATTGCTGACGCGTTTCGTCCAATGTGGACTTTATCAAAGCAAGTCCACATTGGACGAAACGCGGCAGCAATTACCAGTTTTCCCATTGTCATTTTTATTCATAAATATTGTCTTTCTCTACTGGTTAAATCGGAGAAATTTTCACACACACACACACACACACACACACACACACACACACACACACACATATATATATATATATATATATATATATATATAGTGTGTGTGTGTGTCCATAGTCACTTTACAATTTAAATAATATTTTACAAAGGCAATTGATGTGGCATCATAACTAGATGACCTACAACCGACCCTCATTCCCCAGCAAGATGGTGCACCCCCACACTGGGGGACTGCATGTTCGTGGTTTCCTAAATCAAACATTTCCAGACCAGTGCATTAAAAAGGATGGTCCAATTCCCTGACCACCTTATTCCCCAGATATCACTCACCTGATCTTCTTTCTATGGGGGTTATGTTAAAGATATCGTGCATTGAACAAAGACATGGGATACCACTGATGCCATTTCAACCATTGACGAGGCTATAGCAAACATGGCAAGAAATCGAGTACCGTCTTAATGTGCTTCGTGCAACTTTATGGATACCTGTCTATTGATGGATTGTTGGATCAATGATGTCTGCTTTTCTTGCTGCATGCTTGACATTTGCCTGACACATTGCATATTCTTGGGAGATCTTACACCTCCATTGATTTTGACCGTAAGCAGCGATTTCCCAACTCAGGATTTTTTATAAGGCAGTCTACAGGGGTGAATCTGTTCTTCCTTGGTTTATGAGTATCAGGAAATGCTAAGCGACTAAAGTAGATTCATATTGTCTTCCAGCAGCTGGGGACAAATCCTCAAGAATAGATTAAAAAGAAACGTAATTTCATTTTCATAAGATATATCCATCCTCTGCTATATAAAGATAGATATGAAATAACAGTACAACAGATTGATAGATCGATATGGGCAAACTGAAATAGCTAGCTAGATAGGAACAAATAGGTAGATCAATTGATACGAGCAGACTAAGATAAATTTATATAATATATATATATATATATATATATATATATATATATATATATATATATATATATATATATTATAATATTTTTGTTTAAAAATATGATTCTGAGAGTTTAAGTTTCTAAATAATGAAAAATTATTAAACCATAGGCAGGAGTTAACGGTTTTTTGCCGACATCAACAAATTTTCGCATTAAATAATTAGCATAAAAAAAATCCCATAGTTTTGCATAAAAAAATCCCATAGTTTAATAAAAGTCTTAAAAGCTTAGCCAAATCATTAAATAAGAAAAACCCTTTTTGTAGTCGTCAAAAAACAAATTGAAATTCAGTGCAATACGGTTTGTATATAAAACTCCCACTTGAATAAACAAATAAATAAATAGATAATCAGATAGACAATAATCAAACAAAATCCTCCCGACACATAACGACTTTTAGGCGCGCCATAAAAAATATCCCTCGCTGGGAACTAACTAGAGAATGACCGCCAACATTAGCCTTGAAATAGATACCCTACCCAACCTTAGCAAAACCTCTCAGAAGATGATGAATCCATAGATAAGAATTAACTCTCTGACCACTTAACGAAGGTGACTCGCCTAGCCACTCCCACAATAACGAACCATGCTTAAAAACACACGTAAACCAAGAGATAGCTTATTCCTAAAATTTCGCTTGAAGATGAAACGGACAAAACACCTTAATTCAACTTAATTTTAATAATTATTTGGATGGTTTCGGCTCTCGATTTTGAAACATGAGAACTCTTATGTAGCGAAGGAATATATATATATATATATATATATATATATATATATATATATATATATATATATATATATATATATATATATATATATATAATATGACATATAGATAGGTATGAACAGAGGCACGGTGGAGTAATGGATAGAGACTTGGATTGAGGAATCGGAGAGCCGAGATCGAATTCCAGTCGAATCAATTACATTCACTCACGTGCTAATACCCTTGGGTAAGGTGTGAATTCTCTTCTTCTCCTTCCAGCTATAGGTAAATAGCAGGACAGACTGGGTTCTATAGCCTTGGATGGCAACTGGTCTAGGAGAAGGACATCTCTGAATTCAAAACCTGCGAATATTGTGGCATGCAGTGCACCGGGTCTCTGTATTCGTCCCTTCAAAAAGTGTGGATGGTCCCGCACGAAACCTTCACCACTCTAATCAAATCTCTGGCGTCGGGTTGTCAGTTTCCTTGGAACTGATCTGCTTGATCCTCATATGTCGAATTCGACGGAAGAGTCAGTATATATATATATATATATATATATATATATATATATATATATATATATATATATATATATATATATACATAGATCATTTTATTTAGTTTATAAAAATATTAAGATAGATCGAAATCCTATACGGAACGAAGACTATGAAAATAGATAGTAAATGATTTAAGATGTTTTCATAAACAGAATTTGCTTAAATACTTGTATATAAAATAACAACGTTAAACATAAATAAAAAATGTCTTTAATAAATAAATTGTCGGACCTCGTCCATTTCTTAACATATATATATATATATATATATATATAAAGAGTGATATAGATCGATAGGTATAAACAATTAAGATAGATGAAAACAGACTAAGGATAGATAGATAGATAGATAGATAGATAGATAGATACAAAAAGTGCAATAGATAGGTTCGTACATACTTAGATATATGTACAAAGAGTGATATAGATCGATAGATAATTAGATATGAACAGACTGGGATAGATAAAGTGATAAATAGTAACAGATATGTAGATTAATTGATACGAGCAGACTGAGATAAATTGATAGACTGATAGATAAAATAATGACATAGATAGATAGATATAAAAAGAGTGACATAGATCGATAAATAGATATGAGCAGATTGATATATATATATATATATATATATATATATATATATATCAAGTGCATGCACTTGTAAAAAAGATTAAAAAATAATGTAAGCTTTAATAATAAAAAAGAAAAAAAAACAACTCTTAACAATATTAACTATGAACAAGGCCACAATGTGCTAACCGTATTCGGAAATTAAAACATCCCTACCACACACTAAGACATACACATAATGCACACACACAATTAAGCTGAAAAATTGAATCGTCCTTGATAATAGCTAAAGGTATAGCCGAAAGCGCTCGGAAATATAAAAAATTTGTCAGTTTTTACACAGTCTTTGTCCAGAAAAGAAAGCTCTCGTTCCAACACAAGAAAAATTAGTAGTACCTTGCCTGTCGTTTTTAAGGAAACATGCATAAAAGAAGGATGCGTATATTTCGGTAGTATATTTTCATTAAGACAGGTTCCGTTAAATAATTTAGACATGTTCTGTCTACTCATTCTCGATAGGATCCTTTCATAATCGCGTATAAACGTTTTGTGCGGTTATTAAAAGACGTGACAGTATTTTCCTCTCGTCTTTTAATAACCACACTAAAAAAAACTTATCCGAGAATATGAAAGGATCCTATTGAGAATAAGTAAACAGAACATGCTCTAAGTTATTTAACCAAATCTATCTTATATATATATATATATATATATATATATATATATATATATATATATATATATTTTAAATACATTTTCGTTTCACCTTTGAAAGTGAAGTTTGAAGATCTAGAGAAAATAAAATTCTCTGGTGAAATAAATTATTACAATGAAGCCTTAAAGTGGTCTGTTTTTCATTTAAATTAAATTATTCGCTCTGACTTAGCATTGAGCTCTCAGGATTTCATCCTCCTTTGGATTATCCATACGGATTACCAAGATTTTCGTTACTTAACTATATATATATATATATATATATATATATATATATATATATATATAGAGAGAGAGAGAGAGAGAGATAGAAAAATATAAAAAGACCAGGATAGAGAGTGTGAAAAAGAGAGAAAAATAAATGTATGTTTTCTGTGATATAAAATTTTACTGAAAATAATTCACTTGAAAGATGTATAACAGTTAATTAGAAATAAAAAAACAAAAGAAAACTAAAGCTGCTATACGAAAAACCCATTTGAGCAACAAAAAAAAAAATTCAGTGACAAGTTTGCTTTTTAATCTGTGTTGTCATTCTTTGCAGCTATCTTGTGTCTGAAGATGTTTCTGGTGCAGACAGATTTAGGGAACACCCAGGACTTGATCTACAGTGATGCCATAAGATTTATCAGATCAGAAAAAAAAAAGAAACTTTGTCTGACAGTCATTTTGCCTGCCTGTCAATTTGCCTCAGTGAATTTCCCTTGTGTTTTCTAATCCTTCATTGTTATTTGTTTCCAATGAATAAACAATAAAAGCTCTTTCTTCAACGGAATGCATTTGGATTAGAGCTTTAATCTCTTATTTCGCATCGTTTTATCTTTTGTATTCGCTTTCTCTTGTTATCTACTCTCCTTTTAGTCTTTCTTTCTTTTTAGTCTTTCTTTCTTTTTAGTCTTTCATTCTTTTCGTCTTTCGTTCCTTTTTAGTCTTCCATTGTGATTAGTCTTTCATCCTTTTTAGTCTTCAATCTTTTTAATCTTCCATTCTTTTTAGTCTTTCGTTCTTTTTAGTATTTCATTCTTTTTAGTCTTTCGTTCTTTTTAGTCTTTCATTCTTTTTAGTCTTTCATTCTTTTTAGTCTTTCATTTTTTTCAGTATTTCATTTTTTTTCGTTTTTCGTTCTTTTTAGTCTTTCATTCTTTTAGTCTTTCACTCTTTTTTTATCTTTCATACTTTTCGGTATTTCGTTCTTTTTAGTCTTTCCCTCTTTTTATTTTTCATCCTTTTCCGTCTTTCGTTCTTTTAATCTCTCATTTTTTTTTTGTCTTTCATTCTTTTAGTCGTGAAAGACTAAATCTTTCATTCTTTTCAGTGATTCATTCTTTTTAGTATTTCATTCCCACTTTTTTATCTTTCATTCTTTTCAGTGTTTCGTTCTTTTTTTAGTCTTTCTTTCTTTTTAGTCTTTCATTTTTTTCGTCTTTTGTTGTTTTTAGCCTTTCATTCTCTTTAGTCGTTCATATTTTTTCAGTATTTCGTTCTTTTCCTATTTTAAAATTTTCTTTCCTTTCATCTTTGCTTCTCTTTTCTGTCTGAACTTTTCTTCTTCTCTCTCGTTTTCTTTTTCTTTCACATATACACATTCTAGATTTTTTCATTTTTACTCTCTCTTTTCTTCTTTCAGCCTCTTTCTCATTTAAGCTTTCTCTCTTTTATCATTTTTTGTTTGTTTTTCATTTAAATTTTCTTTCCTTTACTCTCTTTCTCTTTCTCTCCCTCCTCTCTCTCTCTCTCTCTCTCTCTCTCTCTCTCTCTCTCTCTCTCTCTCTCTCTCTATCTTCATTCACTTTATCTTTTAAATGGTTTTCTTTTTCAGTCTCTTTCTCTTTAGGTTTTCTTTCTTTCCAGTCTCTCTCTTTTCTTTTAATATCGTTTAATTTTTTTCTTCCTTTGGCCGCCCACTTTTTTTTTCTTTCTTTTTTTTTTTTTTAAATTATCTTGTTTTTCACCCTCTCTCTTTTATTCTTTCATTCTTTTCCGCTTTTAAGTTCGCTTTCTCTTCATCTTTCTTTCAATTGCCTTATCATCTTAACTTTTCTTTCTTTTCAGTCTCTTTTTGATTTTCTCTTTCATATAAATGTCCACTCTCTCTCTTCTTCATTCACTCTCTTTTTTTTTCATTACTCTGAATCTGTTTTAAATGTTTTTTCTTTTTTCGCCTTCTCATTTTTTTAAATTTCTTTTTTTAAAGTTTTTTTCTTTCTTTAACCTACTCTTTTTTTTTTCTTTCATTCTCTTCCTCCATATTGGTTTTCTTCTTTTTCGCCTTTTTTTCTTTCATTCTCTTTCTCCATATTGGTTTTCTTCTTTTTAGCCTTTTTTTTTTCTTTTATTCTCTTTTACCTTTAAAATTGAATCCTTTTTAATTCTCCCCTTGTTTTTCATCCTTGTTTTTCTCCTTTGAATTTTTCTTCATTTTCACCCTGTCTTATTCTCTTTCCCTTTTACGTTTTCTTTCTTTTCATTCTCTCTCCCGGTCTGTCCTGATATTCACCCATAGCTTGAGAAGAAGTGGTTTCATTCCTTTCCCAAGGGTATTAGCACGTAAGTGAATGTAATGGATTCGACTGGAATTCGAACTCGGCTCTCAGATTCCTCAATCCGAGCCGCTATCCATTACCATCGTGCCTCCTCACCTATCTGAGCTAAAAGCTGGAGAGGTATTCACTTCAAGTGTGGCATATCTTAGGCCAGTGGGCCTGTCAGAGCGAATCCAGGTCGAAATCACTGCCAATTTCCTCCAACTCGAAGGCTCATCTTAGTCATGGACACGAGAGAATTCTCCCTATTGTCCATAAACTTCAGTCTCGGAAAGTCTCCATCCAGCGATGCCATGACATGATTGCAATGGCTGCATACCTAGTTATACAGAGTCCATCCTACACCATTATGGTAAATGCTTGTTGAACCAGCCAAAGATTTCAGCCATCCTTTGAAAAATCTCGTTTTTAAGCCAACTTGGTGTTTACCTTTACCAAAATAGCCTGGAGGTGGAACTAGTATAATCACCAATGACCCGACAGATAGTTCTGAGTCATATGGCACCATCTGCAAAGCAATCCCAAAAAAGCCTCAGTAAAAGAACAAGAAATAATCACTGAATTTATGCCATTTTTTCTGCCCTTCCATTTAATAACTTGTTTTATCAGCTTATGTAACATTACATTGCCATATTCTTTTTTATATATATCAAATAAATTATTAACCAGCTTGAACATGTAGAAATATAAAAGACAACGTAGTAATATTTTAAAAAAACATGTAGAAATGTAAAATACCATGTACGAGTATAAAAGAACATCCACAAATGTAAAAGACCATGTAGAAATATACAAGAGCATGTAGAAATATAAGAAAAAACAATGCAGACATATAAAAGAACATGTAGAAATATAAAAGACCATGTAGGAATATAAAAGACAATGTAGAATACAAAAAACATGTAGGAATATAAAAGAACATGTAGAAATATAAAATACCATGTAGGAGGATAAAAGACAATGTAGAAATACAAAAAACATGTAGGAGTATAAAAGACCATGTAGAAATACAAAAAACATGTAGAAATATAAAAGAAGATGTAGAAATATAAAAGAACATGAAGAAATATAAAAGACCATGTAGTAGTATAAAAGGTAATGTAGAAATACAAAAAATATGTAGAAATATAAAAGAACATGTAGAAATGTAAAAGACCATGTAGGAGTATAAAGGATAATGTAGAAATACAAAAAAAAACATGTAGAAATATAAAAGATCATGTCGAAATATAAAAGAACATGTAGAAATATTCAGACTCATTTTTCATTTTCTGTACTTGTCTAAAAAGAAATACATTACCGTATATAGTCGCATATCATGCGACCTATGAAGACGAAATTTTGAAACTAATTTGACTCCAGTAAATGGATATATAGTTTGGTCAACAGCGTCGCCAGAGCCAGCAGTACATACGCTAATTTTATATTTCGTGTATGATGCGACCCTCTTAAAATTAGCTTCAAAATTAAGTCTTCAAAAGTCGCATGATACGCGAGTATATACGGTATATATTAATAGATTGAAATGAAATTTCTACCAAATTATCGATAAATAGTATATGATTAATTTTATTTGACAAGGGAATAGATAATTTAATCTATGAGGATGCCATATTCAGTCAGTGTTTGAATATGGATTTTGCTTGCTGTATTTTTGGGGAAGATTATTAAATAGCAACTCTGCGGTTGTGGACCAAGCACTTTGTCAGTTTCAACCCTGCAATTTATCGGCAAGGTATTATAGCTTATTTGCAGCAGCAGTTGTGTTGCTAACAGATACAATTCATAACATAGTACTAATGGGTACTTCAACATCGTGATAGAGAGTTCTATCTTCACTGGGTGCTCCATATTTTCAGCCTTGTGCCACATCTAAGTGACTCTTAGTAAATCAGTATAATATAGTACCATTATTGTTTCTTATATATATATATATATATATATATATATATATATATATATATATATATATATTGTAAATGTAGATATCACTTTTTCTCTCTCTTGTATGTATATATATAAATATATATATATATATATTAAGTGTGATACACTAAAACCTTTTACACTTGATTAAAGATCTTCCTATATATATATATATATATATATATATATATATATATATATATATATATATCAGATCAAAACATATGGCATGGCCACAGATCTCTCTATCTCAATTTAACTTTTGAAAATCATAGAACTGTAAAACTTGTTAAAGTTACTCTAAATAAATACCATTTCTTTTTCCTATAATATATATATATATATATATATACACTACAGTTCCAAAGTTTGAAGTAACCCTCAGAATTAGCATGGGGTGAACTTGACAGAAGAATGAAAACAAAAAGATGAAAAAGACTTCTTAGAGTCATTGAAAAAAGAATGGAATCAATTGTCAAACTTATACTTTGAGAAACTTTTGCAACGAATGCCTAAAAATTATGCTGCAGTAATCAAGGCTAAAGGAGGATATTTTGTCGAGAGCAAAATTTAATCATAAAACGCGTTTTTTTTTTGTCATTTGAAAATTTCTAATAAAAAATCGTGTCTCACTTTTTTAAAACTATGTATAATAATTTTCTCTTATTTAAGTACAAAACAACTACTTTTTGAGACAATATAAAAAAAATTACCAGTGTTTCCTTAAACTTCTGAACTCTAGTGTAATATACAAGCTCTGTGAATGTCTATGTGTGGGTAGGTTGCAGAATCGACGTTTTATAACCGGACAGCCTATATACGTGTGTCCGTGTGTCCGTGTGTGTACAAAGCTTTGAACGAGACCGACTTGAACATCAGGATCTTGTGCACATATTAAAGAAAGTTGGCAGCATTCTGCTCCTCCCAGTAACCTGCCACTGTAGCTCCATAGCATGCTCTAATAACAGGCCTTGCTGTCCACTCGCGGAAACATGTGGCAATTGATTCTGATTAAACTGGTGTCCGCCATTCCTTACATAGGGATTAGTAGGATCAAACAAACTGTTTTTTGAGGGTGGAAATGAGGTGTTATTATTGGTCAACAAATCTAAGCAATAAACTTCCATTTAAATTTTTATAGCAACTTACAACGTATAGTCGCATATCATGCGGCCTTTGTAGACTTAATTCCGAAGCTAAGTTGACTACAGTAAATGGATATATAGTTTGGTCAACGGCGTAGCCAGGCCAGCAGTACAGATGCTAATTTTATATCTCGTGTATGATGCCACCCCCTTAAAATTTGCTTTGAAATTAGGTCTTCAAAAGATATATATCTATAGATGACAATATAGATACAAATATGTCTATATATCTCTGTTGTGGGCACGTGGCCGATTGGTTAGAACGTTCGCCTTCTCACCATGAGACAAGGGTTCGAATCTTCACATGGTCGTTTTTTTCAGGACTTTCTTACTCATGCGGCACGTGGCCGAGTGGTTAAAACGTTCGCACTCAGACCATGAGACTAGGGTTCGAATCTCACAATGGTCGGTTTTTTCAGGACTTTCTTACTCATACGGCACGTGGCCGAGTGGTTAAAACGTTCGCACTCAGACCATGAGACGAGGGTTCGAATCTCACAATGGTCGATTTTTCAGGACTTTCTTAGTCATACGGTCGGTATAGGCAAATGGCCGAATGGTTAGAGCGTTCGCATCCTGACCATGTTCGAATCTCACCATAATCGATTTGTTATCAGACTGGAAGGGTCAATCTTAGCAGGCGGCACCTTTGGAAATTGCCTGAAAACCATACCACGGGTTGACAAAAGCCTTGTGAGTCAAATTGGGCAGACGGATAGCTGTGCTAGCACGAAATCACAAGTCATCGTGACCGAGTTGTTGAGCGTGCTGGCCTTGTTCAAATTGTTAATCACGCTAGATAAAATGCTCTTTCCCAGAAACTGTAACTAAGGTCTGCTCAACATAGTTGCAGTATAAACCGGGTGTTGAATAAACGCAAATGCGCCTGAGCAAGCGTCTGCAAAAGGGATTGGCTAGCCGCCCTAGTAGATGGGTATCCTTGAATACGAGTGGCCAGCTATACAATTACATCTATCACACTCAAGATGCGAAAAATAGTTCCAATTAAGTAAAATATATTACTTACTTCATTGAAAACTATTTCCTGCATCTTGAGTGAGATTATAGACACAATATATTGACAATGGGATGCATGTTATGGCGTATTACATATCGGCTCAGGATGAGAAATCAAAGAACCGATTTCGAACAACTCACTGAAAAAACCTTTCTCTATACCTATCATTCCCACGCTGGCTCAGCCAATCAAAATCGACTTCCTAGTTTTGTCTTCCATCTGACTTCGAAGTTCAACCTTGAGAACTCCGAGCATAGATACACTTCCTCTGTCACATAGCAATTCAGCACTCTTTTCTTTGTTTCTAACGGGTTTTTTTTTTCTGTTTCTCATTGCTTAACTTTTTGGAATGCATCTTTCACACTTCCACTCCATGACTACACTCAGTGCCATACGTGATACCCGCTTGGGTGATTATGTCTCTTTCCATTCATGATTGACTAGGAAGAAGATTTTCCTGCTGTAAGTTGGCATTTCTTTCCGCAGGAGACTGATTGCCAACCAAAGCTGTAAGACCCAGTCTGTTCTCAGATTTAACCCATAGCTGAGGGGGGAGAAAAGATGGATTCATGCCTTTACCAAGGGCATTTGCGCATAAGTGAAAGTAACGAACCCGACTAGAATTCGAACTCGGTTCTCCGGTTTCTAGATTTGAGCTGTTATCCATTAAACCACACGACATATA